GGAACTCTAGATCAGAGCAAGGAAGTGCACGAAGACTCAGCAGGAAAAACAACAATTAACAGTTATATTAGCACTGAGAGCAGAGTTGCTCAAAACCTGGTTTTATTGTTTCCTACGAAGTAACAAAGAAGGTGTCAGTGTATCTAACATCTCTGATCTCGTAGGTGCTAGGCCAGATGCATCCTGAACTGTCCTCTTTAGAAAACAAGAAAAACAAAACAAACTCATCAAGAAGACAGCACAACCCTGACCTCTCAAAAACAGTGATGAGGGTAAGAATCCCAGGGTGTCCAGGCGGCACTGGCAGTAACCCAGGGCTCGAAGGGACAACTGGGAGGATGCTGGGTCATGCCAATGGAGAGTGGTGATGCTTTCTCAGAGGACTCAAGACCCACACCTCAATTCTGCACACAATTTTTTTTTTTTTTTGATCTGCAAAATTTTATTAAGCAATAGCTGGACAACTTTTACAACTTCAAATCATCAAGAAAAAAATGAGATAAATCCATCTCAATAATAAAGACAGAAAATAATTTGGACAAACCACGTCATTTTGAATGCAAACCATTAATGCCTTCTAGAATACCTCCCACACAATCTAATACACAAAATACATCAGAAGAGAGGCAAATAAGGGTGAGCTCGTTAGAATGCAAGTGGGAATCTCAACAGATCTTGCTTGGAAAGTAAAACAAAGCAGGATGCTGGAACTGAAAAACAAAGCAACACGGGTGGGACTGAGGCGCACACAGCAGCGTGCTATTCCCAAGGTTTGGATAAGAACATGCTGGTGGTCTGGTTTGGTCTGGGACCTGTGCACCTGCAATGTGCACTTACAGTTTAAAAAAAAAAAAAAAGAGAAAGAAAAGAAAAAGAAAATGCCAGTAGTAATAAACTCAGAAATTATGTCCAAATTTACAGTACCAAAATAACGCATTTATAAACAAATGCAAAAACAATACCCCTTTGGTAAATAATACAGTGCCTTTTTCAGTCAAACGCATAACCCATGCTTTTCTACAACACGAAAAAAAGTTTATCTACAACAAACAACGAGATCTTAAGAACCCTACCCCTCCCTTTTAAAAGAACTTGTAAACAGAAAATATTGGTACAAGTTACAAGGAAATTGCACAAAGCCAAATAAATGAAAACAAAATAAGCCACAACCCTTCAGAGTTTCCCTCAGCTGGAGCTAAGGGAACACACATGGTGACGAGATCTGAGTTGTGTGCCATGACAAAATCCCAGGAACTCAAAGAACAGTTTTGACACATTTTGTCTCAACTCACTTTGTTCACAACTATGGACTTGGCCAAGGGATGGATGGCCCACACAGGGACATGATGGGTTCCTTTCAAAAATCTTTTCAACTTGCAGAGAGTGAACACTGCAGAAGACACTCAAGAATTCCAACCAGCCTGGGCATAGACTCCTTGGTTCTTTTTTCAACCCACTCTATGGTTTGTGGGGGCATATGGTGACTTATTTTAGGGCTGTTCTCCAGGGCGTCCACCGAGCAGAGCACACGCATGGGGAGGCTCCCGCTGAAACTGGTGCTTTTGTGTGATTTTAGAACAGACACCATTCCAAAAGCATTTGTTTCTAGAGGTGAACCTGCTAAAGGTTATTTTAAATGCACGGGTTTACATTCACGAGATAGCTCATTAATGCCGGAAAAGAAATACTTCTCTATAAAAAGGCAGTGATTTTGAAACATACCTTCCAAGTTTGTACAGTGGAATGAGGACACAGTCACATTTTGGGCCCTCAGGCTGTTTGAGCTGGACAGTTGAGAATTTTGTCCAGGCCAGGTTGTCCCTTTCATTTTACAGATGCACAAATGGAAGCCCAAGGTCACCCTCCAACTTCGTGGCAGAGCAGGCCTGCCCCCAGGATCGACAGGATTACAAGATGAACATACATGTTTTTGCCTGGCCTCATGGGACACTCAACTGGGGAGCGATGGACACGGGGGAAAAAGACTAACCAGCAAAATCCTGACTTACGCTGCCATCAGAGCCGCGACATTTTCCTGCTTCCTTGGCACCAACTTTTCTTAGGGTATACATTCAGTGGATATACTGTACACAAATCTGTGCCTTTGGTTTGATGAGGTTAGAGTTGAAACAAATTTAAAATTGGTTTTTCTGTTTGTTAATACACTGCTTCCCTTGAAAAGGCATGGGTTCTTTACGGAGTTGACTGGGCTGATGGTTTTAAATGTAGAGATTCAATGAGGTATCTTAATATTCATAAGTTGCTACTAATAAACATGAAGCACATAGAATTCTGCTCTTTAAAGTACTGACTTTAGTAGTATTTAATAAATTGAGACTGAATGAAAACGATTTTTAAAATAAGTGGAACCATCACCGTCAACTTCAAAGACACTGCATCACAAGCGCCGAAGACCTGGAAGTATGAGCTGCATGAGCTCGTTTCCTCCTTTGGGCCAGAGTACAGAGCTGGGCACCTGCTGTCCCTCAGGTCTGCAAACCTCCCCGGACCAGGCCTCTGCCTTCATGTGTAGAACAGGCCTTTTGGGGAGTGAGCCCAGAATTAAGAAAGTTGAATTATTTGCTACAAATACTCACTTTCTCTTCACAAATGTATCTGCAGTTTTTATTCCAAGGATTTCTCCCTATATTTGCTCTTAGTAAGAAAAGTTCTAAAATGTATTTCTTCATGGTCTCTGTGTCTTAAGAACCAATCCGAGAATCTGGAAGGTGGACACTACTTACTAACAATAAGGCCTTCCTTTGCTGCTCTCATTCCTCTTTTCATTTTGTAGCACCTTTTGTTTTTAATTAAAAATAAAATGTTCAAAAGAGGGGGCAATATTATTTTAGGATATGTCATCTCAAAGAAATCGACTCCTTTGTATATAATCAATACCAAAGAATGTAAAAAAGAAAAAAAGATCACCTTTAAAGGACTAATAGGAATTTTTTCCCAATTAGAAAAGTTACAAATTGTCCAGCAAAAAAACCTTCTATCATATCCTCTTTATTTCTCACAGCAAAATATGCTGCTACCAAATAACTCATTACAAACACACTATTTTTCTAAATAAATAAAATGGGCATAACTCACCAGTACATAGTTACAAAATAATTCCTAAGAACACTATTAAAGCAAGATAAATAATCTCTTGGACAACAAAACAGGGGAACTGCATTTAAATTATTTTAGAAATAGACCATAACCATTATTGCACAACTAATAATAAGCATTGAAACATCTTACCAAGCTACAGGAACTCCTATAAAAGAATTATATAATTCTGAATACATTGCTAAATTCTTTCTCAAAGAATTTACCCACAAAGAATCAGGTTCAATATTTTAAAATATAAGATGGAAAACTTGGATGTTAGCTGGGAGATGTCCTCATCTGTGTTTCTTCAGGGTTTGGAGAGAATGGTGAGTGATGTCGTCCGGCTGTGGGGAAGGAATGGGCCAGTTTCTTTTCTAGTTTTTAAACCAAAACAAGGAATGTAAAAATACATACTTTCAAAAGACTTTTCTACAGTGTCTTTCATTTGTCTGCTCCAAACAAAATCCAGATTGAGGACTCTCTGCCAGTACACAGTTCCTGTGCTCCCGCCCAAAAACATCACAGGTTTGAGTAACTGACAACAGTGAACTGGGTTTTGCTATCAGGGCTGACCCTGCCCAAAGTGTCCCCTAAGGAGGAGGTGGAGGGGAAAGATAATCTCAGGGGATTTCTGGTTTTCTTTCTTTTTGGTAATTAACCAGCTATCTTAAGTACTATAATTTTACTAATGTGTTCCCAGTGGTTTATCCAACAGTCTGTACAGTTAATAAGGAACTTTTTTTTTCCCTCCTAGATACAACTGTGGGACTTTTTTCAAAGAGATGACTATATCTCTATCTTTTAATACCTTGGCAAATGCTTACAATTTTGTTACATGTCTAAACTATTAGGAAACATCTCTAGTCAACTAAATTTTAATGCGGCTGAGAAGAAAGGCGTGCTTCCAGATCAGTGTCCTCAGCATTTTTAGAAAGAGAAAGTGTGGTACACTTATCTATTGGGAAGGAGAATGTCTTCTGCCACAGAAGGGGGGAGGGGGCAAAGGTTGCTTTTCAGCAGGCCAGGTCGCTACCCACCACGCGCCAGGACCGCTCCATTTCATCTCTCCCCTTCTCCCGAAGGCAAGCCTCACTGAACCGATGGAATTCTGACATGTTCTAAAACTGGTGGGGTCTTCAATGCAGACATTCTTCAGAAAGGAGCAGAGCCCCTGGACTATTCAAGTCCCACCGCGTACACCCCCCACGCGTCCATGTGCAGGCGTGCCTTCCTCCCGTGCCAGCACAGCCCGAACTGTACACAGCCCGCTTCCACGAGTCAAACCCCGTGCACCTGCCGGGACACCCTCCATTAATCCGTCACTCTGAGGGAGTAACAGGACAGTGTGTGAATTCAATGTCCCCCTACAAGAACCTGTACCTTCAGGACTTTTGGTTGTCTTTTTAAAGAGTTTTTTGTTTTCACACTAGTGGTTATGATAAGGAGTAATAAAGCTAGATGTGTGGAGAATGGAGATAATGCACACTCCCTAGTCTAAAAAGAACAGCAGGTGGGAAGGCAGCCTACCTTCCTTCTGAGGGCCCCTTGTCTTGGCAGCTGACAGAAGCAAACACAGTAGGACATTACCACAGCAATTGTGTTTCCTAAAGGAACACCAGGTGCCTTGCACCCTTTGCTTCCAAATACCACTCTTCTGCAATCTCTTTTTGTTTAAAAAGAAAGAAGAAAGAGAAACAATAAAAGGATTATAAAAGCCCAAACAAACGACAACAATTAAAGGTCAGTCCCCTCTCCTGGGCCTGACAGAGTCTTCCAGTTTTGCTCGTCTTCTGGTCCCCGGGCACCGAGGGCCCCGGGGGCCCCGGGCGACTCCTCGAGCAGCGCTGAGGAGACCTCTCTGAAAAGGCTCCTTTGCCTCTTTCTGCCCCATACCAGTCTTTTCACTTCAGGCGCTGAGTCACGTTGGCCAGGGCAACGGCGAAGGCCTGCACAGCTGAGAAGGGGTACTGGAAGTCCAGAATGTACGCGTTGCCATCAATCCTTCCAAACTGCATCACCTGGGGTGGGGGTGGAGTGGGCAGAGAAGCGAAGACATGAAAAGAACACAAGGTGGGAAACACAACCATGTCTGTGTGGCTCCTGAGGGAAGCGGACAGCCCAGCCCAGGAGACAGGTTTGCCGACCAAGGTGACTCTGATAAAGCTTTTTTTTTTTTTTTTTTTCCTAACGAACAAACAAAATTTAATCGTTTAGATCAGACTCCCTCCAAAGGGAAAAATAGGAATACCATTCATGGTGAAACTATGTTTTTTGCTACCGGCAACACTTTTATCCCATTCTCTGACTAGGTGCCCTAATCAGTAATTGCTCTACTATGCAGCAGAGGTGATGCAGAAACAATTCAAATAATCCTCAACTGTGGTGGGACAGCTGTTTGCTGTTGGCTAACTGGTCATTAATAAAACTCACATCTCCTTAGCAACAAATTTTCACTTTTTCCCTTTTTATATTTGTGTATGTTGTCCAGTGAAATGATATCTCTGCAAACGAGCATTGGAACCACTAAAGATATCTGATTCTTCACATTTGCAGCAAAGGAACACGGATGATTCACTGTCTTCCAAATGAGAGCCAGAGGCGCAAGGGCTGCAGGTGGTGCCGGGCGTAGGCGACCGCTGGACCATGACCAAAGCCATCTAGGCAGCGCGCTGCTAGGTTGTTCCGGGCAGGGCATTCTTGTCCTGAACGTGGGGGGGCAGGAGGGTGACGGAGCTGGGATGGGGAACGGGGTATAGGATGGGGGTGAGGGGTAAGGGGAGGAGAAGGAGGCCGCGGGAACGGCCACAGGCTCCGCACCCACTACCGGACTCTCGCCTACTGACGCGCTGAATGGGCGGGGGGCAGGTGGGCGGGCGGGCAGGTGGTTCGGCGGCAGCGGGGCACCCTGATCAAGCTTCTCGATCTCACTATGAGTTTGTCAGAAATAAAGAGGGGGAGGGAACATGTTAAACATGCAGGTGGGGGGGGGCTCCTGGGTGGCTCAGTTGGTTAAGCGACTGCCTCAGGCTCAGGTCATGATCCCAGCGTCCGGGGATCAAGTACCACACTGGGCTCCCTGCTCATCAGGGAGCCTGCTTCTCCCCCTGACCCTCTCCCCTATCATGCTGTTTCTCTCTCTCTCTCTCTCAAATAAAATCTTTAAAAAAAAAAAAATGCAGTGGGAAGATAACGAGCAAAATTTCAGAGTGTGGAAAGTTCCACAGGTCAAATAAAGTGGTTTCCTCACCAAGGAAACAGAAAGGAGAACAAAAAAGTATAAGGAAGAATCTATAGGCTAATAAAGGGTTAAGAGAGACATCATTTGTCATGGTCAAATGTCACTGCTCAGAGAGGGATAAAACGCAGTCCACCTCCTTCCGCTGGTGCTCAATCTCTAGAACTTGCCTTCGTCACTTCAGTACTTACTGTGACCACATTATATTACCACATAACATGATATACTTATTTGTTTATGGTCTTTCTTCCATTTTTGGTAAACTCCACAAGGACAGGGACTTAGTCTCTATTTTCCTCATGGCTCTAGTTTCAGCACTTGGAGCAAGGCTGGCAAACTCTCTGTGAAGGGCTGATGATAAATGTTTTAGGCTTTGTAGCTCACAGGATCTTTGCCACAACTCTAACCCCGTTGTAGGACAAAAGCAGCCTTAGTCGATATTTAAGTGGACACGCATGGCTGTGCTCCAATAAAATGTTATTTATAAAAAGAGGCAGCAGGTCGGACTGGTCTGTGGGCCACCGTTTGCTGACTCCTGGCTCAGAGGATTGCCAGGCATATAGCAGGTGCTCAGTAAATATTTGTTGAGTGAATTAATGAAAATGAGGTTTAAATATGCAAGGCGAAGAGGTGTGTTCCCAGAACGACAGCTATGCAGCGGGGTTAGAGCTACCCTCTGAGGTTGTAGCAGGAAGAACTGACAAATCGCCCAGTGTGTAATGTATGGAGAGAGGACTTACATCATACCAGAGAATCAGGAAATGACTTAGTCATAAATACACAGAAATAAGCAAACAAACACTGGCTAATTATTATGTCTAGGGAAAGAAAAACTAGACGATAAAAAAGGAAATATAATTAAGCCATAATCTGTGGCTCAGCTATAAATCATACATATTGGCATAATGAGATAACCAATGACTATGTAAAGTAAGAAAAGGGGGAAGTTCACATGTGTGTATGTATGGTGGTGGGGGTGAAGAAAATTAACCGTCCTATTCCTCATGAAGAAGTCAATGCATGATGTGAAAAACTGTAAAAACAATAAACAGAAGTGGGAACATGCTCTTTACAAATACAGTGTCAAATACCAGAAGAACCAGAGCTGGGTTTGAGCAGGCCGGGGGCTGGGCAGGGAAGGGCCTGCTAGTTCTCCTCCTGGATCTCGCAGAATCCTCTGACTTTGAAAAATCAGTAAACGTGTTGCTCTGATGATAAGCAAAAAGCGAGCCAATGGGCACACCGTAAAGTACAACCACGATCAGCCCCACTTAAGAGACAGCAGTTGTTTTCTGTATTTCTCATTTGGCTCCTGGCAGGCCAAAGCACGGATAGCCTTCACCAGGCTTTCCCCTCCCACCCCCCAGACCCCCCGGACCAATCAAGACCAGAACGCAGCAATTCTGGCCATGCCCCGGGACAAGCTTGCTTACCTGCCGCCCCTCCAGCTCAATCTGGAAGTTTTTGGCCGACTCCTGGGTCACCCGCCCCCCGAAGTCTAGCTGGTACACCTGGGTGGCTTCGTTCCACAGAGGCTGCTTGTTGGCCATGACATACACAAAGCCCTGGCTGCCCAGCCGCCCATCCTCCTTCTCGCTGGCTTTCCGGCACTTGAACTCTTCCAGCTCGCTGGCCGTCCTCAGGCTCCGCTTGCTCTTCCAGCCCTTCTTGCTGCCCTGGCTCTGGTTCATCAGCTCGTCCCCGCTGATGAACAGCTCGGGCTCGCTCTCCGAGCTGTCCTGGAACTCATTCGTCTTGTTCAATTTCTTTGACTTCAGTTGGTCTTTCTGACTCTTCACTTTCTTCTTCTCTCTCCCCAGGCGGGGGCTGGAGATCAGGGAATTAAAGTCACTCAAAGTCCGTGCCTCCTTCTTCACTTTGCCCTCCGTGATGGCCTGAACATTTCCCTCCTCTGCTCGGCTGTCCAGGCGCTTCCGGTTCTTCTTGCCGAACTTCTCTGTCCGCTGGGGGACTGGGCTCTCCGTCAGGGAGAGGACTTCTTGGAAGTTGTCTGTGGTCTCTACCATCACCTCAGTACCCAAGTGGCTTTGGAGGTCGGTGGGCGGTGGGGACACGAGGGGCTTCTCTACCACCAGGTGTGCCTTGGGGGGGAGAGTGCCCTGGGGGTTTTGCACAGGCGGGCAAGGGCTATAGGAACTCCAGGGGTGCAAGGCGATAGGTGGCAGCTGTAAACTCGAGCAGGTGCTGCTTCCCGGATACATGGGGGGCAGGGTGCAGTACGAGAGGCTGGGTGGGTAGGCAGGCTGCAGAACCACTGCGGACTCCTGTGGTGCAAACGGTGTGGGGGACAGGGCATCTTTTGGGGAGCAGGGAGTCTGCACTCCCGGCAAAGGGGGTGTGTTATAGCTTCCTGGATATGGCATTCCCATCCCATAGCCTGTTTGGAAAGTGGCAGTAGGACTGGCCGGAGACTTCGGGGAGACGAAGGGCACTCGGGACACGTCCAGGTGCTGGCTCTGACCTACTATAAGAGGGGGCAGTTTCAGGGGGTTGGGCACTGCAGTCTGTGCTGTCCTTTCCTGAGGAACCCAGATGTCCTCCCCCAGCACGGGGTCCCACTGGTAAGGAGGTGGCCGTTTGATGGCCACAGCAGCTTCGGGCAGCGCGGGGTGCCTCAGGGGCTTCTCCACCTGACAGTGCTGGGCCAGCGCCTCATCCTCGGTGAAGGCCGAGTTCACGTAGTCGGCGCGCTCGCGGGCGCCGTCGGGCGGGCTCAGGAGGCTGTAGGACGACTGGGAGGTCAGGGGGGAGGTGCTGGCGGCGTGCGCCAGGCCCGAGCCTGGCTGCGCGCCGCCCGCACCCCCAGCGCCCGGCTCCGGCCGCCCCCCCGCCCCCCCGCCGCTGCACTGGCTGCAGGTGTACAGGGCTGGCGGGGGCCGCGCCGGGAACTGCGCCGCGCCCTTGGGCTTGGGCGGGTGCTGCGGCGGGGCCCGCGGGGGCTCGGCCAGCTGCGCCGCCTTGAGCGCCACCTCGCGGTTGTTCCTGCGCAGCGTGGCGTGGATGAGACTGTCGGGCCTCTGGGCTGCGCCGCGTCCGGGCACGAGCGGGCCGGCGATTTCGGGGTACGGGGGTGGGTCTCCTGTCGGGATGGAATAGCGTGGTACCGTCAGGCGGTTCAGGGTCGCACTGGTGCAGGGCTGGGGGACCTTCTTCTCGGTGGCGGTGAGCCTCAGCGTGGCCGAACTGCCCGGACCGGGGAGGGTGTAGGTGTTCTGGGAGCAGAGCATCCGCGTCCGAGGCCGGCATACCTCCTCCACGTTGCCACTGCTGTCAAAGGTGGTGATCCTCTCATAGCCCAGGGGCGTCTGGTAATGTGCCGCTGTGGGGTACAGCGAGAAATCGCCCTTCTTCAGGCACGTGTCCACTGGGGGCTGCGGGGGCGGCAGCGGGGGCGGCGGCGCTGCCGTGGTGGGGGCAGCAGGGATGGTTCCCGGGTAGGGGGGTGGGGGGTTCATCTTCGCCACCTGGACCTCCTGTGGGGCACTGAACACCACTGCGTCCCCCTCGGCAGCCAGCTGCGGCACTGGCCGCAGGGCCTTGGCCGACTTCTGCAGGTGGTCATGGTCCCGGTCTCCGTGGTCCACCACCGACAGCTGGATCGCCCCCTGCGCGGGCGGAGGCAGGGACAGCTGAGCAGGGTTCGGGATGATGCGGCCCATCTCCACACCTCCGAAGATCACTTGTCCAGGGTTGGAGTAACGGTTGGAGACGGGGTACTGGGAGGCACTGTCACTTCCATGCTCCGATGTCCCCACTGCCGTGGTCTGACTGGTCAGGACATCCAGCTGCACATTCTGGTTGGCCAGCAGGGACTGCACCAAGCCTATACTCTGCGTGGGGGACATAGCCTGGGCCGAGCTGTGGATGGGGGCAATAGGGATGTTCACTGTGCACGGCGGGCTGTTCTCGGGCACACCAGAAGCTCCCGTCACTGGAAGGAAAAGAGAAAAATGAACTGCTTCCAGAACAGTGCCGTGAAACTGGGTCAGAATAAGCGATACAGCGACTAATCAACTCATCTAGTCCTTTTGCTACAAAATGCAAATGCTGTAGACAGAGATGAGTTTGCTTGGGGAAGCTAGAACTTTCACACAAGTTATACACAGTCTCTCTAAGGTTTCTGGAAGGACACAGGCAAAGCTTTTCGATGAATATACTTTTGAATCTTCCGAACTTGGTACCTAAATGGTACCATGGGTCATAACTTAAATGTTTTTTTTTTTTAATTTTTATTTATTTTCATTTTCTAATATTTAAAGATGCTTTTTTACCATGAATTCATAAAATGGCCCACTCTTTTATGCAAGAAGAGAACTATGGTATATAGCATGACACTCCACTGAGCACTCATAATGCCTAGGGTCCTGAGTAGGTTTATCCACAATTATGGATTGGTTAATATGGGAAGTGTTATGTAGCAGATGTGTATGTGAAACTTGTACGTAAATTAAGTCTCTGTAAAAAGAACCATGTAAAATGTAGTGGAGATACCAATGAAAAGATCTTCCAGCAAATAAGCATTATTAGGGAAGGATCATTTCCTAAAATTTATCTGCTTTTCAGCATTTCAAACACTATGTGAGGTACAGTACTGTACCTCTGTAAAAGTATATCCTATTTGTACAAAGAGGGAATTTAATGAAGCATGAATGTGAGCAATGATCTCCACGCCACAGGCAGGTGCTCAGAACCATGTTTTATACTGCCTGTCTAAAGTACCATCGAGCACCGGGAAGTTTGATTATTTGGGCCTTTAAGTGCTATGTGGCAACTAGTATATGAGCAGGACACAGGATTCAACTAGCTAATTGTAAAGGCTGTCTGACCTTTACTAGAACTACAGAATGAAGGCAGCTAGCTAGTTCATCAAAAGTTAAGCCCGGGGCCCCTGGGTGGCTCAGTCATTAAGCGTCTGCCTTCAGCTCAGGTCATGATCCCAGGGTCCTGGGATCGAGCCCCGTGTCGGGCTCCCTGCTCAGCGGGGAGCCTGCTTCTCCCTCTCCCTCTGCCGCTCCCTACTCATGCTCTCTCTCTCTCAGATAAATAAATAAATCTTTAAAAAAAAAAAAAAAAAGTTAAGCCCACCCTTGGTTCCAGTCAGACTCCCCCTTCCCTGGGGCCCTCTAGTGAGATGTTAACTATCTCGTGGCTGCGTGAATCTGGGTCCCATCTCTAGTTTTTTTATTATTCCTGTTCTGATCCCTCCTCCAGATGTTCACTCATCTGCATGAAGTACTGAGGGCAGGAATCTTCCCCGCTAAAGAGAAGAGTCTCTCTGTCACCAGCATTAACTGAAAGCCCTGAGACAAAATGCTCCCCCCTCAGACTGGGAAGCCCAGTCAGGAAGGGCCGCAGCAAGGGCTGAGCCTTAGGGGGAGCTCTATTAGTCACATTCCAGGAGCACAGGGAGGGCGCTATTTGGAAAGTGTAAAAAGATACTTCTAAATCCATGATTCTGAAATTGCAGGGGATGTGCTCTAAAGCTCAGGTGTGTGAGGCTTCACCAAACTGCAGGTTTATGTGGTTGCAAAACCTTGCCCATTAGGACTTCGATAGTCTACACCACCTGCTATAACCATCGGAAAACCAAAAACGGCTACTGTCAGAAAGTACTGTACAAATGATTTTGCAGGTAAAAACCTGTGAAGAAGGTAAGTAACTGGGATAAAAGAAGGTAAACAATGCCCCCAAGCTCAGAGCCTGAGCTGGCCTGCGTGTCCTTCCCTGTCCCATGGTACAGACCATAGCCCCTTCTGTTCTAGAACCACCAGTGGTCCATGTAGGATTCCTCTGGCTCAGAAACCAGAGACATTCAGAACCCTGCTTGGTTCTAAGTAGAGGAGTCTTCATATTTATAAAATTACAGGTAGATATTTTTGAGAAGAGTTATAGGGAAATAACTGGCAGACTACTTAGAAATCATTCTACTCTGTTAATCAAAATAGGATCCCCTCCCCCTAGAAAACACTTAAATTAATTTAAGATGCTATAGATATTTGAAAATTTGGAAACTGGGATTTTTAAAAGCTTGTGCTGGAATTCACCTTTAACTCAGACCAGGCTTCTGTGCACTGAGATGTGCATTGCACACTGGGCAAGCGATGTCTGAACGTGAAGGCGTTCTATCCTGGAGACGGGGGCGGTTTGAGACACTGGGCCCTGTGGGCACCACAGGACCATGGCAGTGACGCTGCAAGGATGAGGGCCAACGAGAGCCAGCTCTGATTTTGTGGAGTTCCCATCAGTCCTGTTAACTTCTCTAGCTGGGCACGTGACTAAGGACTACTGTGAAGATAAAACAAGATGGCAGAATGCCCTGTGGACCTGAGGTGTCATGGTCACCTATAGCGTCCTTGCTCTGGTAGCTCCCCTCCTCCCCAAACCAGTGGCAGTAGGACCTTTCTCCTGTGATGTGCCACCACACCCACCAGCTGAGGAAGTTAAGCTTTTCCAAACCAAGGCGGCAGGCATGGACTGACATGTTGTGATCCTCCACTAGTTACTGCTCTGCCCCTGTCACGACCCCCTAAGAACACACCTGGTAAATCATCCTCGTCTTCACTGAAAACATTTGGGTTGAAGACAGGTAAATTAACATAGTCCATGGAAATCTTCCGAACCTCTGGGAGATAGATGGTCATCTGCCGCGGCTGGAGATGCAGGAGGCTGGTTTTATAGATTACTGGAGGGGAGGAGGAAAGCACTGTTAACAGAGACGTGCACGAGGACAGCCAAGGCACCGGCAAGGTCACAGGAAGAGCAATGGGGCTGCGGTGTCCCTGCCATCAGAAGGCAGGGAAGAGTGGGAAAGCGGGCCTTTGTCTCCCTTCCGCACACCACTGGCCATCCCAGCCATGCTTTGGCTTCCCTACCGGCAACTTCTCCGTCTAGCGTAATCACTTTGCCAAGTGGTCTGTCTACAGAACCACACATTTCAAATGTCAAAAACCTGTCCTAGACTTAAATGCTTTTCTGGAATGAACTGGGATAGGATAAATATATTTTTTAAAAGCCTCATTTGCGATTAGAATTCTAATTTAGTAAAAATAGTTGTGATAAGCAGAGTGCCAAGCTCAGGGGGATCTCAGGCAACCCAGGAGACAGGGGTGACATGGGTCAGGTCGGAATAGAACACTGCCCTTCCTCAGGACTGGATTCTTGTCTTCCTGACTTTCAACTTCATGATCAGGACAGAGATTTAGGGAACTTCCACACCATTTCTTTACATGCTCAGGTTTTATATTTGATCAACAGGGACATTTAAGACAATGCCTGGATGGCGACTCAAATATTTGGAGGAGACAAAACTGGTTAAAAACAATGAATCTGAATTTAGGTTTCACAGTAGGTTAAAATCAGGATCAACTTTCTTTTGTTTAATGCTCTTTCCTGAGGTAAGTAGAAGTTCCCAAATTATTACTGTTATTCTCATTTTTTGTTAGGCCCAGCTGTGTCTCCACAGCTGTCCCCGCTAGCGCCCGGTGGCTGACCAGCTCGAACTCCCGTGGCCCAGGAGGCCTTCTCTGATGAAATGCCTCTGTAAGGCTGGCGCTTGGGCTGGTGTGGGCTAAGGCGACTTTTCCAGTAAGACACAGGCCTTATTTGTGTGTTCGTCTCTCTTGCCCACAAAAGAGACTATGAACTTTGGCTTAAAAATTCGGGACTGTTCTCTACAGCTTAAAAATTAATGCATTAAAGTGTTATTCTTTGTTGTTCAGATTGATAAAAGAAATAAAATCTCAGGAGGGATTAAAAAAATATCAGTTGCCTCCAGGGGAGAAAAAACTAGGTGGCCAGAGGTGAAGATGAGAGAGAGTTTTACTGTATACCGCTTCAAATCTTTTGAATTTGGAATTTATTCTATATTTTTTAAATTGAGAAAGCAAAAAATCAAAAATAAAATTTCATGGGTCAGATAATTCTAACTGAAGGAAACAAATTATCCAATATAAAATATATCCAACAGTACTCACTTTTAAAATCCATTAGAGTGCCAAAGATTAATAGGGTGCCACATGTATCTTACACATCTTCTAGAATCCAAGAGATAGAATCAAGTGGAAAATTCTCTTAGCTTGACAAATGAATAGCTAAAATGCTCTTTTTAAAAAACAGTCCGTGATTAGGACAATGATTTCACTGCAGTCCTGCAGAAAGCTTTTATCCTGGGCACCTGAATTCCTCACACTGGAGCACCATGTACCTTGAGGGCACCTATAGGTTCTCCCGTCTCAAGGTCCTTGTTGACTTATGTGTGGATCTATTCAACATCCAGAAGGAAAAGATGCATTAAGACTCCATTCCTCTTTTCAGTGTGTACTGTGGGCAAATGGCTCAGTTCTCAGCTCATGCATGGGGTAACAGGACACTCACACCATAGCTACTAGAATCCCCATGCGCATCAGCAGCGCACGGCTGCATTACTGAAGAACACGCTTTCATGGTCATCAGAGCCTTTCCAGGTTGTTGAAATTATTATATAAGAGATTTCTTTGCATTATGTGCAAGAACAGCCTATTCTTATTTTCTAAGTCAGTTTTAATTTTACTTTTATTCCTCTTTTTCTTTGAGCTGAGAAACCTCAGAATGAAAAATCTGAATGCAGCACAATTTAATAAGTCTCTTAAGATGGATACATGGCATAGGTCTTTTTAACATCTGCTTTGCAAAAATTATTTAATTGAAAGGATCTAACCGTGTCCGAAACAACTCCAATAGGCAGATTCAGAATTTTTCAAGAACCATTTTTAGTAGGTTACGCAGAGCTGTTCAAGATGGGACCACCACCCATAGGCAAGCCCGGCCTTGCAGAGAGAGGTGTGCGTGCCAAATGATGAGGCAATCCAGCAAGGCCGGGGGGACAGCACGCGTCCGCAGCTCACCCAGGGATGTGCCTATTGGCATGAAGCTGCTTTGAAAGTAAACATGACACATTAGTACTACTCATTCGAGCAGGAGTACTGAAAAAATGCAAATGCCGGGTGCTAGCCCAGCTTTTACTCCCTCGGTTTTGTTTTCCTCAGTGTCTCAAACTTCGCACAGAGAGGGTATTTATCCGGGCTTCTAGGTGAAATCCGTAAGGATTTACCACACAGAACTGTACTAACAGTCAGCTTCTTACAGTCTTTAACCCTTTTTGAACCTCAACTTTCTTCTGACTCAAGAACCTAAATATACTGGTACCAAAACCTGTCCGCAGTGAAAGGCCAGAAATCACAATAACCAGAAACCTATCAAATCTCTGTTAGAAGACTGTAGCTAGTTCTGTCTTTTCATAAATCAGGACTTAGATAAAAAAAGTGAAGGCACTGTAGGCAAAAGACCAATTTGAGTAATAAATAATTCTAATTTTTGCGAAATCACAGTGGATAGAATCAAAGTTTAGAGATAAATAAAGTACATGCTAATCTTTTGGTGCTGTAAGCGCTCATTTCAATTGTCAGTTTAGTCTGTTTCAGCTGGGAGAACGGGCAGAGAAAAGGACAGGGTTTTTACCTGCACCGAGGTTGGTTGGCAGGAAAGCAGCCAAGCCCACAATCTTAAACTTGGTTCCCCAGATATTAGACGTGACCTGAGCAAGATAGTTGTGCTGTGGGAGGGGGATAAAAAAGGAAAAAAAAAAATCACCATCTATTTTCGTATTTTCTATTGATCACTTAGGAACTAAGAATGTTAACATTTTTGCTTAAAAAGGTCACAGGTGGGCACTGCTTGAAATACTCGTTCTCTGTATCATTCTACCCTTTTTAAGACCAGAAGCTAACGAGAACATGTCAGGCATGTGTTTCTGAATGGTGGCTCACTGAGCTGAGATTTGCAGGTGGGGCGTAAGGAGCAGATGTGTCCCAGTGTGTCCGCACGCGCGTAGGTTTTAGGCCACAAAGGTGCTCTGGGCACGTTTTTCTTTACCTCTCCTTTCCCTCTAGTCACTGAACTAGAGAAGGTATACCTAGCTCTGAATCCATTTTTACCCTTGATGTTTCTCCTGGAAACACCAGGTGCACTGATGCCAGTATGTCCCCAAACGACCCAGTTATCTGTTTCCTTGTTCAAATAAAAAATTTTTTTAAAAATGATCAGTATGTGGGCGCCTGGGTGGCTCAGTCGTTAAGCGTCTGCCTTCGGCTCAGGTCATGATCCCAGGGTCCTGGGATCGAGCCCCGCATCGGGCTCCCTGCTCAGCGGGAAGCCTGCTTCTCCCTCTCCCACTCCCCCTGCTTGTGTTCCTTCTCTCACTGTGTCTCTCTCTGTCAAATAAATAAATAAAATCTTTAAAAAAAAAAATTTTTTTTAAATGATCAGTATGCTTAAGCCACGTGTGTATGTGTGTGAACAGCAATAATAAAGATGAATAAAATGCAGCTCCTCAAAGAGCTTATAACCCAATGGAGGATATAGGCTTACGATTATTTGCAGACAAGGCAGTCACTGAGGAATGTTATACGGGAGTTACAAACAAGATGCTTTGGGATTGCTGTGGCTGAGCTGGGGAAGGAAGCCTTCGTGATGAGTTCCATCCGGAAGCGTGCTGGCAGAAGCAAGAAGAGGAGACTGGCGGGGGGGGGGGGTGCGCCCAGGTGGCCCTGGTGACCCAGGCATGGCAAAGGCACAAACGCAGAAGGAGGCCAGTCAACAGTGAGGCTGTGGCACCTGGAGGGCATCGAGGGGGACCAGGACAGAGAGGCAGGCAGCGCCAGATTGTGGGGCTGCCACCAGGGACTGGCTCCTGTGGACACCAAGAGTCCACAAGTGGCTTGAGGGAGCAGAGGGGAGAAGTGTGGATAGGTCTCAAGCTGTGAAAAGACTCCTGTGGCAACAGGGGGGTGTCTGAGGCGGGAAGGAGGTCCTGGGGCCTCCCTGAGGGCAGGGGTGGGGAGGAAGGCAGACAGGGCTCTGGTTCTCCATGCCCCGTGTCTGGAACGGCAGTGACAGACATGGAGACTGGGGTGGCAAGTGCAGGTGTGATGTGCCCAGGGCTCAGTCCCCGTCAGGCACACACCGAGGAGGGAAGACAGGCAGGGGAGCAGCAGAAACACGGGCCCGCCCTGGACCCCAGGTGCTACCTGAGTGATGTCTTCAAAGGGAAACTCTCTTCGTGTCAGACTGGGCGAGCCAATGGAGGGCTTGCGCATCGGCAACCGGGGAGACCTGGACATCTCCTGAGCAGCCCGGGACAGCTTGGGAGACTTCCGGGCCTCAATGTTGATCCTGTGGAGACAAGGCCAGGAGGGTCAGGCCCCACATGTGGGAGAGGCGCCCACTGCCGCGGCCCTCTCCTTCGTGCTCTGGCAGCCACCAGGGGCGCCACGTTCCCAGGGGCCAGGCCCCTTTACCCAAGCCTCTCCCGTCTGCTCTTGCCTTGTGAATATGAAGAAAGAAGAAAGAAGAAATATATATATCGAGTAATATATATTTAAAAATATGGTAAGATCAGGGGCACCTGGGTGGCTCAGTCGTTAAGCATCTGCCTTCAGCTCAGTTCATGATCTCAGGGTCCTGGGATTGAGTTTCGCATTGGGCTCCCTGCTCTGCGGGGAGCTTGCTTCTCCCTCTCCCACTCCCCCTGCTTATGCTTTCTCGCTCTCTCCTCCTCTCAAATAAATAAATAAAATCTTAAAAAAATATGGTGAGATTAGACAAAATGATTCATTTGTAAGGAACCTCAGAGAATTAAATGTGGTTCGCTTTGTATGGACTAATAGTTAAGTTTAGAAACATCCACATGCCTTCTGCATGTGGGAAACTAGCAGGTGGGAAGAGCCATTTTTCACCCTAAGGCCACGGTGATTTTACAACTCCTACTACAATGTTAAGATTTCAACAGATTTGTCTAGCCTTTCACCAGCTATCATATTTAAATCAAATCTGTGGATCTACAGTTTTCCTACTGGCTTCTGATCCTACATTCGATCTCTGGCCTTCAGTTCTTCTGTTTTTAACACAGGGACACAGGTGTTAATGCCAGTCTACCCCACAGAGAGTGCTATAAAAACAAGTAAGTTAAGGTCAATGGCAGTCAATGAGAGAAAAGCCCTGAGCCTCACATATACTGCTTGAGAACTTGATACGATAGCGAGGACTCCCAAAGTTTGGCTGGACAGGGGGACCGAGCTGGTGAAAACTCTGTATGAGGACAATTAGTCCGGCTGTGGCACGCAGGAGGATCCAACACAGGGAAAGACAGAAGGAATGAGGACCAGCTGCAGAGACCGCCACATCCACGAACTTTAAAAGGACATTTACAGGTGGAAGAGTTGGTTGCTTATGTGTTAAATGTTCTCCCTTAATTAATGGGAAAAGCTGAAACACTGTAGTAGTGTAGGAAAGTTCATAATTTTATTTGAGATTTTAACAAGCTTAGAATAAAGATGAAAAAAATCAATCAATCAAATTGCTTGAGGAAATGGTTATCTATGGGAAAAACTCACACCATGCACAAAAATTAATCTGAGATTGAAGTATGAAAGCTAAAACTACAAAGTTTCTAGAAAGAACAGAAGAATGTCTTTATGACCTAAGGGTAGACGAAGATTTCCTAAACAGGACACGAAAAGCACTAATCATGAAAGAATTCATATTGCGTTAGGGCACCACATACGTGGCGCTCCGTATCTCCGCCAAAGACTCATAGCCAGAATACATAAAGACTCTTAAAATTTGATGAAAGAAAAACAGCTCAATAAAAAATGGGCAAAAGACTTAACAGACACTTCACAAAAGAAGAGCTCCAAATGGCCACTAAGCATATGAAAAACTGGTTAGCAGCAACAATCACTAGAGATGTTGATACATGCCCACCAGAATGGATAGAGTATCTTCTAACAATGACACTGCAACTGTGGGCGAGAGCAGAAGCCTCACATGCTGCCGGCAGGAACTCAGAACAGCACGCGCACCCTGGAATACTGGGTGGAATATGTTTACTGGCAGTTTCCGATAAACGCGTGCCAGGAACCGGCAACTCCCCTCCTAAGTGTATACCCGAGATTAATGAGTGCATGTGTCCATACAAAGTCTTGTATAAGAATGTCTATGATGGTTTGATTTGTAATAGCCCCGAACTGGAAACTACCAAAGATCAACCAATTGGTAAAAGAAATAAACAAATTGTAGTATATCCATTCCAATGGTAACCACAGAGCAAAAAAGAAAAACCACTGATACACACGACATGAATGAATCTCAGTCATTACGTTGAGCAAAAAAAAAAAAAGTCAAATAAAAAAGGAGTATATACTGTTTGATGCCATTCATATGAAATTCAAGAACAAGTCAAACTTCTCTGTGGTGACAGAAGTCAGAACAGTGATTACTCTGGGGAAGGGACACGAGAAACTTTTACAGGAGGATGGAAATGTTACCTTCAACTGGGTGGTAAATATTCTGCTTTATCAACTGTGCAGGAAATTATGTCTTTGAGATCTGGGCAGATAGGTATCTGTACATAAATTATATCTTAGTTTTGCACAGCATCACAGAATTTTAGAGCTAAAGACAGCTTAGTGAAGATCTGGCCCACCCTCTACCTTCCACAGATCAAGGACACTGGCATCCGGGTCATGGATTCATTCAAGGTTATACCCCGAGGCCATACGGCCTTTGGGAGTGGAGCCAGGATCAGAGGATCTCTTACCTAAGGACACAACAGGCCCTTCTATCTACTCTTAGCTTTCTGCCACTCTTTAGGACAAACCTTTGGCATGTGAGATTATTTAGTTTACGATTTATTTCCAATTACAGCATTAGAAGGTATTTAAACTGGGCATTCTGTTCAATGCATACGTTACACTCACCGTAAACCCTTCTCATTACTTTTCTGGAACTGGAAGAACCACCAAGTGGGCCAGGGAGCTTCTGCCACCCTGTGCCGCCCATTGTCAGTACTAACCCTGAGTTCTGAGGACTTAGCAAACTTCCCATGGGTGGATTTGTCTACCCAAAGGGGAGAAGAAAGGAAAGCTCTAATTATCGCTGGCAGACCTTCCTGATGAAAGGCAGGGAAGCCCTCTTGCGGGGCTCTTCTGGTGTCGGCTTCAATGGGGTTCTGCTGCAGACACAACAGAGACATCCCCAGAGACACAAACAAGGAAGATCAGCCCTGGGGAGTGAGCTTACCTTGGGAGTTTGGGTGACTTGCTAGCGCGGGAGATTTTGGGGGATTTCTTGGCAGCCCAGTCGTCACTCAGTTCCACGTCACTGGAGTCCGAGCAGTTGCAGCTGTCCAGCATGGAGGAGATCAAGCTGTTTCCGTAGATTTCATCTGGTGAGACACAACCAGCAGGTTCTGGAAAGTGCTATCAGTAAGACCCTAACGAGGATCATTAGCCCTGGAGACTACAGGGCAGACTGACTCTATAGGCCAGCATTTTAAGTTCAGAGGTTGAAAGAGAAAACGACCAGAGCATGGTTTCCCTTTTACGTTTTTATGCTGTAACAATTTTCTAAGCAAAAGGAGGCAATAACTTCTGTTATCAGAGTGGGCATGGAATTTCAGTGTCTCTGGAATGTACAAAATAGTCTAGCAGTGTTTACTGCGCAAAAGGCAGGAACCTCCCAGCACAACAACCATCCATCTGGGTTCATACGGGTTTGCAGGCAACTAGGGGGCCCAGGCTGAGCAAGGGGCTTGCTGACTCACAGAGCCCTCCCCGCCCCCCCACCCCGCAAGATCCTGTTTCTGACCTGGGGCCTGCCAAGGCCCCTGCTGGTTCCAGGCCTGCTCTGGACTAGACACCTGACAGGGTCAGGTCCATTGCAGGGACTCCCAGACGTTTACGCTGGCCTGCTCCGAGCAGTGGCTGGAAGGCAGGCCTGTGCAGGAGGCCTGTCCGTGGCAGCCCTGGGCTCTGCTGGGGGGTGTTTGTACAGAAGCTGCTCGAGCTGCACTGTTGGTCACTGGGCAGAAGGTCAGAGGTCCTACGGCAGAAGACGGTGCGCTCAGAGGCTGGGCCATCACGAAACTGCACGGTGGATGAAGGTCGCGTCTGACACTTTCCTTGACATCCCTTCTCCTTTACTGCCTTCCTCCCACCCCCCACATCCCTTCACTCCCCAAACCCTGCTCTGCCCTCACTGTAGGGTAGCTCATCTTCAAAACCACTTTGTTTTGCTGACAAAAGCCTCATTCCCTCAAGACTCCAAGAACCTCATCAGGTTATAAAAAAAGCCCAATTGTCCAACTGCAATGAAATCATTTATGGAATTTGAGGGACTTTATCATTCAAAAGGGCTGTTTACATTTGAAAGGATGAGTTTGCTAAGATAAACTCATCTCTAGTGTTTCTGAACATATGGAAGGGACATCTGTGAACAGGGACCTGTCCAAGGGCCCTGGAGGCAGAAACAGCTCGCCATGCTCCCTGGAAGCAGGCTGTCTGAGACCCACATCACCCTCTTCTTAAACAACTTCCCCATCAGAAGGCACGACCCATGAGGACAGCAAGCCGGGGTGGTGTGCACCTGCGTTTGATCAAATAAAAAGGCTTACTTCACATGCCCTGAGCAGTGCTTTACATTACTTGAGGAGTCACTTAGTCCAAAGACACTTGGCCATGAGTCATGCAAGCAGGTAAACGCACAGAAAGCTTCTGTGTGCTCGTGAACATACAGCCAGCTCACCGGCCTGAGGAAATGCAGTAACGTGCTGTCCACTCAGCTCCTGATCTGCCCGCTAACCCAGGATTTTTCACAGTTGCTGTATGTCATGCCATTTGTTGTTGTTCTTGACTCATGTCTTAATCCATTTGGGCTGCTATAACACAATGCCACAGACTGGGTGGCTTATGAACAACAGAAATTTCTGTCTCCATTCTGGAGGCTGAAGTCTGGGATCAGGATGCAGGCATGATCATGTTCTGGTGAGAACGCTCTTCCCAGCCTGCGGTCAGCCACCCTCTTGCTGTGTGCTCACTGGGTCTTGCCTTAGCATGTGTGTGTACGTGTGGAGGAACAGAGCTCTCCCTCTTTTCTTGCAAGGCCACCAATCCTACTGGGTTAAGACTCTACCCTGACAGCCTCATTTCACCTGAATCACTCCCTAAAAGCCCTATCTCCAAATACAGTAACACGGGAGGTAAGGGCTTCAACGTAGGAATTTCTAGGGGGACACAATCCACCCACAGTAAGCTCTGACTAAAGATGCCTTTTAAAAACTGGTGGATTTTTGCTTAAAAAAATATGCTCTCATGTATGCTCTCAATTATAAACATACACATCCTGAGGCTTGTGTCCGTTCAGCTGCGTGGAGAACACTTACGACAGTGAGTCACAGGCTTTGGAGCCTCAGTGCCAGCCGGGCAGCGGCAGGTGTACACGTGGAGGCCTCGCCCCAGACCCACCGGATGAGGCTATAGGGCAGGCCTGGCATCCTGTATTTAGATAAATAGCCCAGGGGATCTGCAGGGAGATGGCCCGGGGACCGCATTCTGAGAAGCACGGATGTGCAGGCTTCGAAGAGTTAATCAGCTCACGAGAAGTTCCCGGCTTCCCGAAGGCAGCGCTCCTGCTCTGAACCACGTACGTATACCACCCGCTTGGCGATTACTCATGTTCTGCCTCGTGACACAGCTTCTGCATCTGTCTTGAGGTATTAAAATCTTGATGTTCTTACTGAACTTTTCGAGTGTTGTCTTGTCACCGAAAAGAGGTTTCTGAACCCCCTGAAAGCAGTGACACCCGGACATTGCCCCACGACCACGGGAGACCCAACGATCGGGGACAAAGGGAGCACTGAATACATACTGTGCATCTGCTTTGCTTTATAACATTCTGATTCTTTTATTTATTTATTTATTTATTTATTTAAAAGATTTTATTTATTTATTTGAGAGAGAGAGAGAGAGAGAGTGCACGAGAGGGGGTAGGGTCAGAGGGAGAAGCAGGCTCCCCGCAGAGCAGGGGGAGCCCGATACGGGACTCGATCCCGGGACTCCAGGATCATGACCTGAGCCGAAGGCAGTTGCTTAACCAACTGAGCCACCCAGGCGCCCCTATAACATTCCGATTCTTTTAATTACCAAAATAAGACATCTTACTCCCCAGAGGACTGCCAGTAGTCGAGTCCGCCCGCGTTTGCTGGGAGCTGGACGCCAACAGTAAGCAGGAGCAGGAACCCCCCAGCCAGCACAGGGTTTGGGCGGTCACGGCCTCAGGGCCCCGCGGCAGCCCTGCCTGTGTCTTCTGTCCTGTTTTTAGTGTGGAATTTACGCACTTGGGACAGAAGCAAGCTGTTCACGTCCGTTCCCTTCAACATGCAATCTGAGGAGAGGTTTTACGAACTTGTACACGCGGTGGGGAGCCTCAGACACAACGACCTCTGTCCGCGAGAAGACTGCTGCGCCCCACGCCCCTCGGCAGTACTGATCACCACCAGCTCTTCTCCCCCCGCTTCGAGGTCAGTGCCCACTGCCCTCCTGTTCTCCTCACTTCGCCTGCCTTCCTTCTCAGTCCTCTCTCTCCCTCCGCTCTACCCACCTCCCCGCCAGCCTCCAGTTCTGCTCACTTTCCCTGCTTTTGGTACTAGTTCATTGCATGACTCAAAAGACGAACAAATGGACTAACATCCAATGTGTTAAAGTGCAGTTTTACTGCTTTCAATTTTACACAGTGACACTGACAGGAGAATGCAGCCATGGGTGCTGAACCAACAGTGAAGACCAGACAGAGGTAGGACGACTGCCCGGGCTGAGCCGAGTGAGCGAGCACGCCAGGATGGAAAGGCCCCACGGCACGGTGACGCTAGCACGTCACCGTGCCTTCAGGGACATGAGAGGCAGAGGCCGGTCTAACGGGCGGGAGAGACAGTGGGAGCGGGGGAGTGGAGAGCAGTAGGCACCCATGAAACAAATCCCTTTCAAGGTCAGGCGCGTGCCAGGCCCTGGGGTAGAGAGAGGACTCAGTTTCCTCCGTCCAGGCCCCAGACAGAGCCGGGCCCAACAACCACCACGGGCCCCGCAGGACTCCAGCAGCCCGACTGACAGGCGGCCAGCACAGGAGGCCGGTGACCAGCAGGATTTCACGGGGGGTGGGGGGCGGGGGGGGGGGCAGGAGCACACGGGAGCTGGCCGATACTGCTGGGGGGGGCACGCGGGCCTCGGCAGTCACTAGCTTAGGACACTGGGCAAGCATCCATGGTGCAAAGAGAAACAGCCAAGTCCCTTTCCTCTGGAGGCCCCCACTCTAGGATGGCAGAGACGAGCATGCAGCGAGCACCCGGAGTACGCCAAGTGAGTACCGAACATCAGTACAGGAGAGAGTTCTTAGAAGGGCAGAGTGAGTCATCATGCCAAAATCGTCATGGATGAGCAAGGAATTTTCCTTGGTAATCAGCTAAAAAGCAGCTCACAGTGGATTAGTGAGGAGCAGAAGTAAGATTCTAGCAGGAGGCTGAGGAGTAGGCTGAAGGTCTGAGAATTTTAACTCTATCACTCGCTCTGGGAGGGCAGAGAGGTACCCCGCTGTTATCATCAGCTGGTCTCAACAGTACATTGAGGCCCTTGATAATACCCAATGAGTAACTACAAGAGGAATCTACTGTTCCCAGAAAGCCTGGGCCAGATTCCCCCTGACAGAGAGCTGATGTTTCCTCTATCCATGGCCCCAGTGACACGAAGCCTTATGGAATGCTGTTAAAAACCCATCGGAAAGTACACTTAGAGAATCATTAACTTCGATCCAATTTTGGAAATGGGGCAGCTTCCAGGATGTTCCACGCTAGCCAAAACACAGGCTCACGTTTCGTAAGTAGGCACTGTCTTTGCATGGTGTCAGGAATAACTATTTCTCAACCACACCCAAGAACGAGGTCTTAGTCTCTCTGGCGTGGAGGCCCACCTGATTTGCTATCCGTCCGAGGGTCCATGATGACGAACTCTGGCCGCAGTTTGCTGATGCGCCGCCCCTTGAGGATGGGCACGAGCCCGCCCAGGTACTCCAGGTAGAGGGTGTAGCACGGACCTCCCACCTCCGGGTCGTCCTCTGTGCGCTTCATGGTGCAGTGCAGACGCTCGTTGCCGGCTGAGGGGTAGCTGACAAAGTCTCGCATGTTGTTGGGATCTGGAATTGGGGGCTAGAGGCAGGACATGGAAAGAAACGAGTATGGACGTCACTGATTACTCCAACAGAGCACTGGCTGGTAGCTCGGGGAGAGTTAACGACGTGATGTGGGACAGCGATTCTCAACTGTGGGTGCACAGAAGAATCTCCTGGGACCTTTAAAAAAATACCAAAGCTAGGATCCCACCTCAAACAACGAAATTGGAATCTCTGGGAGGCGGGGATGGGCATGTGTATTTTCTAAAAACTCCCCATGCGATTTTAATGTGCAGCCAGGGTTGAGAATCCCTGGTACACAACCAAGATTGTAAAGCAACTTGAAAAAACATCACAACAGATTCTAAAACTGATGTTTTAAGAAAAAAGTCACCTGAACAAGTCAATCTGACACTTAGAAGCAGAGAGAGAATACAAAACAGAGAACACAGGCAAGAATGTAAGGTGCGGAGGCCCCAAGGTTAGAGGAAAACCCGCACCTGAACAGCCCCTAGCAGATCTGTTCCACACACCACCAAAAACCAGACGAGCGACAGTGAGTGTGGGGTGGGGGTCACCCCTCCTCAGCACAGTGGCTCCATCCTCAGGACAGGGGTCAACCTGACCATTCCCATAACTGGCAATGGAGCAAGCTACTCAAACTTCTCGGAACAGGTTTCCCACTTTTCTGAAGCATCTGCCAGGAAGTCAGGATTGAACAAGGCCGAACGAGCATCAGGATGGCACGGCACTCAACCTCCAAGACTGCCTTTGCCACGAGGAAGCTTACGGCCCTTGCACAAGGCGAGTCTCTGGCGGAACAGCGGTGCCAGGGACAGACGGCACTCGGAAGCAGTATCACCCGGTACTCTCGCCGAGGAGCACACATGACTTTGGCCCGTCTGCTCGGACTCGGCCCCCCTCCTGGCCAGCCCTCTGGGAGTGGGGAGCCAGCAGGGGCTGAGGAAGAGCAGGGGAGGGTGGAGAGGCTCTACCTTGATGGTGGGGATGAAGGCGGTGGAGAGGTAGGAGCAGAGGCGGGGGGGCAGGGCCAGCTTGCTGATGTCCTTGTCCTCCCGCAGGGCACTGGCGACGGCCTGCCGGCACAGCAGCTGCAGGCTGCACACACGGTGCTCCACACGCACCACGTACAGGGCCGGTCCTGAAGCCATCAGCAGCCGCGAGTCCCGGTGTCCCCAGCAGATGGAGACGATGGGGCGCTGCCAGGAAGTGAGGGAGGCAACACTTAGGTTCTGCTCTTGCAGTAAAGCACAGGAGGTCATGCACGGGTGTGTCAAGCAAAATAAAGTGACTAATAGTTTCCGAGAATATTGGTTTTGGAAAGTGTAATAGACAATGAAATACTACATCACAGAAATTCACTATTTTCATTGGAAAATAGTCAGGTCCCCAGGCCAGAACACAAAGCACTGGAATAGTTTTGCGAAGTTCTTTATTTGCGAAGTGTATTATCTCATTTGATTTGGTACTGTAAAACCTAACTTAGCTCTGTATAATGATGTCTCTGCCAGAAGATGCACGTAGCCTGGGGTGCAGTAACCCACATTCCTTACTGAGCTCTGGTTATCTGGATCCCCAAGAAACTGGTGGTTGTTCCTGTGGCTTGGGGAGGTGGTGAGGAGGTAGACCAGATGGCCCTTCCCTTTGGTCCTGGCAAGGAGCATTTCAGAGTGAAATTGACACTGGTCTGAAGTCACATGTCGTATGACCTGGGAACTAGTCTACAACCCCAGGATGTCTCCCACGTTCTCAGGAGTAAAATGGGAGCTGTGAGGATTAAAGGAGAGGGAAGATGCCAGAGGTACTTCCGAGACCTATCATAGGCTATAACCCACAGTCCTTGAATCACGGTCCCCCCTTGGCTATGGGCCAGAAGAAGAAAACAGACAGCTCTCCAGGGAGAGGACACACAGTTCCTGTGGGGGCTGCTCCAGGGGGCTGGGGCCACCACCACTGCTTTGAAAGGCAGGCTAACTCCAAACATGCAAGTCAGAAACTAGCTGTATTGAAAAAACTCCGAGGCTCCAGGGTGCCAGCTAAGTAAGATCCACCAAGAAAGGAGGAGGCAGAGGGCTGTGACGGGGAAGCTGCTGGAGAATCGGTTCATTCCTGTCCAGCTGGATGGGGCTCTAATTTAGTGAGGTCTTGAGGGGCTGGAAAGATCAGAAGTGGGGTGTCAGATCTGTTATAGGAGTGACAGGAGCAGAATTTTCACAGCACTTCAGTGACAAACATAAAGATAAAAGGAACAGATGAAGACACTTGCTTAAAATAGCCTCCAGGGTCAGCTAATCCTGGTTTCAACTTCAAAACAAAATGCAAGGCTGAAGATACTCCATCTTCTCTTTCCATCTCTGCGAGCCCAGGCAGTGCAGGTTGGGACCCCAGGCGCGACCCCCTGGAGGAGGACCACGGAGCCTGGAACTCAAGTGTGCGGGCCTCCAGAGTACTTCCAGATGAGCCTCCTTACAAGAGGATCCCACAAGTGGGGCAGACCTCACAGAGTAAGCCGTAATCACTACTGGAGACAAAGCAGATAACACACACAAAATTCCTTTGCTATCATCAATGCCCGGAAGTGCAGTTATACATTTGTCCTCCTGGCCCCTCTGTGCTCCCGCCTTCTGCTTTTCATAGTAGCAGTTAAAACATGTTTTGGGAGGATCTTACATAAAACTATCATATGATAAGTATGTATCTCATATCTTTGTACAAAGGAACTTAAACCACTTACACAGACTTTCAAGGTGGACGAAACTTCTCCCTCTCACAGCCTCACAAGCACATACAGCAGCCCATTTAGTCCTTTCAGTTCTGCCACAGAGGGATCACTACTCTCACCTGCCTCGCCAGAAGCCCAGGAGCCCGGCGCTTGGAGGGCTAAGCTACAGCGGGTATCCAGGAGAGCCACGGTTCTCGCCCACCTCCTTGAGCCCCATGGCTGTGCTCCTTGCCCGGGTGCTTCCTCCTCTCCTGTCCATACACCACACACGGCCTAAAGAATGCCAAATGCCCCACAAACTGAACTGTCAGTCGCGAAGTAAGAGACCCAAATTGTCCCCGTAATCCATTCGGTCAAGGCAATTTGACTCCAAAACAAACTGGACAACATGTCTGTAGAAGAGGCAAATAGAAGGAGAAACAGGCTGTGTCATCAGCAAATGGACAATGACCAGAATGATTCGCTATGGCAGAAAAGAATCTGCAGGTCACATGGGCCCAAAAGTGGGAATAAATTAGCCAAGAAGTGCTGTTATGTGCACGAGACAGCCAGAGACAGCCTGTCTGGAAGGTGAGGAAGGACCGTGCTCCTGTTCTGCGCATGGCATCCACTAGGACAGACTTCTTCGCAAGGAGGACTCATAGGGCCGGAACGGGTGAAAACCAGAACCCAGAGCAAAGGGCAAGAGGTAAGCGGCCTGAGGACGTGATACCTGTGGGGTCTCAAAGGGGAGACTGTTACCCGGAGCAAGGTGACCGGGAAGTACCAAGAACATCAACAGGGATTTACAGCACAGCGTTTGGGGTGAGCATTCACTTACTTGTCCACATCAGCGACTGTCTGTTTCAGTAAAGGGGGGGAACACATGCTCATATAAGTTATTTTTTCAGCATATACTCCACGTAGGATGATCAAGTAGCAAAATAAATACTGGTACCTTTCTACACGAAATTTTAAGGCTATATGAGAAAAATAAAGAATTTACAGATAGTGACAGCTGATCTTCTTGCTTGAAGGTTTTAAGGTCTCTCTGATGTGGGGAAATTGGATTATTGTAATTCCCATTGAGTGGAGGAGGGCGGCAGTGGGGCCATGACCTCAGGATACCTCTAAGTCCTGTAAGCCTGTAGAAAGACTATACTATGTATCTGAAAGTCGCTAAGGGACACTGTATCTTAAATGTTTTTCCCACAAAAAAGAAATGGTAATTATGTGTTGTGATGGAGGTGTTAGTGAATCTTATGATGCAATTCTACTGCAAATACATAAGTGTATCAAATCCACACTTGTATACTTGACATTTACAGAACCTTCATGTCAACTCAACAGAGCTGGAAATCAACAAATAAGAAACCACACAGGAACTCCTTTTATACCTCTCTAAATACTTTTATACCGTTTTTATATGTCATCTTACTTTTCTGAAGTCTCATTTCCTTTTGGTGCCAAATTTCCTGTGCTGTTTATGGGTACTTCAGCCTACAAAGCCCTCCCTACAAATGTCCTGTTGTTTGGAAAGAACAAGACTCAAAGTGGAGGTAAGCGCACATGCCCGCAGACATGGGGTGTGGGGTGTCTCGATTCAGCTGCCTCCCAATCAGTGCTTTCTGCCCTCCGTCCCCTAGGATCTGAGGTGCCAGCAGAGAACGAATCCACGGCCTGCCTGCCCACAGCTCTCACCCACAGAGTGCCGTCGTCCCTAAGAACTGCCCACCAGCCAGGACTCGCGACAGAAGAGAAATGTATTGAATGTTTAATTCCAGTAAACCTGGAACAAGATAAGGGTGCACACTAACACAACTCCCACAGATGAATGCTTTTGTTTGAACAGCTGCTATCTGCTAGGGAAAAACTCAGCTGTAAATCTGTGGACTTAATCTCTCTCTCAAATCACATAGAATGACTATTTTTAGAACCAATGGCTAGAACTGTGAAGTTGGTAACATTCAAATCTTAATTTGTGTAGGGAAGTTCACATACTTTGCATGTCTAAATCCAAGGCAGAAGGACAAGAAGATGAGCTACATTTCAGGGAGCACTGGGGTGGCAGAAATCGAGTGCTTTGGTGAGTTTGATGGAACAAGGAGAGGTGTTACTCGGCTGGAGAGAGATGCTACCTGTATGGGTGTTTGGTGAGTGGCTAACACACAGTCAGGTTGTCCTCTCAAGGACCTCCCTATCTTGCTGTCTGATGCTGAGTCACGTGAGGGTAGCAGGGCAGTCTGCTCCTCTGACTTCCTCGGCTACAGCACATGGACTGTATGTATGTATCTTTGTACAAAGGAACTTAATTCATCTAAATTGGATGAATAAATGGCTGGTTTCAACCCCTCTGGCACATGAAGACAGGCTACATTCCTCCCAACCTTACCTCCTGCTGCTGTACACTACATACCACACATTCATCCAGCCAGTCATTCAGGTAACTGTTAATTGTATACAATGGGTAAGATACGTTCTAGGTGTTGGGGCCTGATACTGAATAAAATAAATTCCCTGCCCTTATGGAGCTGACACTCTGAGGTGGGACAGGGAGAGAGATGCGTATCTTAGCCCCTCCGATAAGGACTACCTGTTCATGTCAGCTAGTGAAGAAGGGCAGGAAAAGGGACCTGAGAAAGAGTGAGGGGGTCATTTCAGACAGAGGGGAGCAGAGAAGGCTGCTCCAACAAGGCGGTTTCAGCAGAGGCCTGACTCAGATGGGGGAGTTTATTTAAATTTTAAAACACTGAAAGCTTCCTCACCGTATTGCTATTTTTGTATCTGCAGTGAGTTGCATGGAGTCCTCTAAAAATTTAAGAGGAATAAAAAACAAGATGTTCTTTCCATATTACAGATAAGCTGCTCAAACAAGATAAAAGACAACAGACAACAAAAGAGTCAAAGCCAGCTGTCCCAAGAGAGGGACCACGAGGCTGTCTGAACCCACAGTTTCTGGCCGATGAGGGCCCTGGGCTGAGGACTAGGGATGTGGACCACTGACGCGTCCGATCCTGTGGGTGTCCGAGGGCCCTCCTGGCCTCCCACAGTCACTGCAGCTCCACCCCTCCCTTCTGCAGCTCCCCTAAGAAGGGAGGATGATCTCTGTCTTAGAGGAAATACACTTCAAATGTCTAATATTTGAAGAGGATGTCTAATGTTTGTACAAGTGTGTACAAAGGGAATGTCTAATGTTTGTACAAGTGTGTACAAAGGAAAAGCCTTCTACAACAGTTCACTTTTAAATAGACCAAGTTGGCGGAGTGGTCACCATCAAACTCTTGTTGGCTGGAGCCATGGACAGTTTTGAATGTTAAGCCACAATGATTTGGCCACTCAGGTGCAGTAGTAAAAGCTAGCTCAGCATCCAGGCACCCACATCTCGGTTTTAAAAGAACATACCATTCTTGTATTCTGAAAGCAGACCACCTCAGGAAGTACCTCATCTATTTATGGTAAACGGGGGAGAAAGCACTCTTGTGGCAGTTTCCTAAGAATAGGTACAGTGAGTCCTCAACAAAGGGGGGCAATATATACCTTTGCTAATGGACCCTCCTGGAGGACAGAGTCAATGACCACAAATGCAACCTCTCATTTCATTTTTTGTGTCCACACCACCTCCTCCCCTCCCTTCTCTCGTAATTTTTTATCCAGGTATCTTGTATTAACAACTGAAACTTACTGAACATAAGTTGACCCCTCCAACATGACTTTCATGCAAAAAACATTCATAAAGCTAAAACAAAACCAACCAACCAACCAAAACCCCAGACCCAAACTACTTAAGTCTGTGAACTTCAGCACGTAATGCTAACTCTAAAAATCTGTTGTCAGATTAACAGATATGCAATTACATATAGCTGGTCACAGAAACAGCTAATGAGGTAAATTACAGAATTTTCAATTACAACAGGTAGAAAGTAAAGAAAAACAAATTGCAGTATATTTCCTTATAAGGGCTTCAGCCATTAGCATTGCTGTTATGAGTAAATCAGGAGAATCAATTTTAAGCTGAGGCTGCTGCAAGTTTGTGCCCAGCAACGGCTTTGTACACAATAACCTACAATCTAATTAACTTGGAAATAAATTATCCAATCTAAATTGCATTTAGTTCTTTCTATAAACAGCCCAATAAATTTCCTAACTTCCTTCCTGCTATAAAAATGTCCCTCCCTTTGGACAACTTGAATAGCATAGCACAGATAACATGTGATTTTAGAATCATTACAGAAAAAAGCTAGGTTGGTGCCACCTACAATTAATGTTGTACTTGATTTTTAATAGCATCATTATTTAACTTTATATTAATGAGGCAATTTTTTCAATGGTTGAAACATCCTCAAATGAAAAAAAGAATAATTTATTAAAATGCTGAGACACTAGATGGATATTTTTCCCGAAAGGAAGATCAGCTAAGCTCTCTTCTTATCCCTGAGCCCCAAGCAGTTAAAATTCAAGACCTATGTTAGTTTCACATTATAGTTGATGAAACATCTGCAATGGTTGAGGTCACTGAGCCTCTACCATATTCTAAGCATAATGACGGCCAGAGAAATGAAGAAAATATGGTCTTTGACTTCCAGAAGACAAGTAGACAGAAAAGTATAATAATTATCAGAAATATCAAACATCCCAACGGGATGCTTCACAGAGAAGAGGGGTTGCAATCATTGGCACATTTACAAAAGGATGTGACTGTGCTGGCATTAAGGAGGATGGACCTCCCCATGCTGAGATGGAGGGGAAGGACATTCCTTGTAGAAGGAACAGAATGCCAGCAGGAGGGGCGCCCTGAGTCAGACAGAATTAGTGGACAATGCTGAATTTACCTGCAGTGTGTTACAGCACTTCAACTCACAAATATTCTAATAAATGTAAAAGCCTTACTAACTCAGAAAGAGCTGGAAATTCCCATCCTCTCCTACTTGCCTTTCAGTGAGGCTAGGGACAGAAAGTCAGCGTGATATCTGACTGAAAGGCACAGAGCCTCCCGGTGCAAACTGTCAACAGAAAGAATTACAGAAAGCATATGTTGACAACTTGCCCACCCATCAATCATACCAAGCAAATATTTACTGAGCACCTACTATTTTCCAGGGGAATGCACTGGCAGTTTCAGTTTTGTAAGATGAAAAAATTCTGGAGATTGATTAAACAATAATGTAATATAGTTCATGCTATTAAAATGTACAGTTAAAAATGATTTAAAATGGTAAATTTTATGTCATGTGTATTTTTTCACAAATAAAAAAAAGATATATTTAAATAATGAATGTTTATATCTAATTACAAAATTTCCCCAAATCTGGTATACCTGGCTCTTAGAGCTGAGTAAGGTTAGGATGTAAGTCTCTAAAGTGTTATCACCCCTGTCAATCCTCAAATCACTGGCAGACCCGTCTCCACTACACCCGACTGAGAATTTCGTCCTCCATGACAGCTGATCTGGACCAGAAATGAACTGGTCTAAAGATCTCTGGGAAATAAAAACAAACAGGAAAGGGCTACCTGTGCATCTTTCCTAAAGATCTTTAAGCTTTTTTACCTACTGTTTAATAATTTAGTTCAGATGTAAAAGTACATTGTTGGCATAAAAAACCCATAAAATCAGAGCAAATAAATGAAGATTCAGCCCACACTTCTGTAAGTTTCTAACTTCTACTTGGGACTGATGATAAACACCAGCTCACTCTGTTTACTCACTGTCCACTCTTTTGAGTGGGGAATGTAATAAAGTATTCTGGTTAAAGGCAAAAACTTGTTCCTCTCTTATTTTTTCTGGTTTATACTCCATAATTTAATTAAGGTCAATGAGAGATTAAAATCTGTTGAAGATAATTACAGCAAGCATACCCAAGTCTCGGTATTTCACAGAGCTTGAGGAGCATACTAACACAGTAAAGGTCTGACACACATCCTTACTTGCACAAGCGTGTCCAGAGTAAAGATGTGCTCCCCGCGGACATTGTAGAACTTGACCATGGCACTCTTCAGAAGAGGGCCGTTGGGGAGGTCACCAAGCTGGGTCTGCCGTTCCATACCAGCGACAGCCAGGAGGTCTCCCTGGGTGCACCACTGGGCCACCACCTCTGAAATCACAAAGAAGATGGTCAGCACGATGACATGATCCTCCCTGAACTTACACTGTTTAGAAAACAGAGCTGCTGAGCAAATACAAGGTGGCTCTTCCCCTTTTTCTCACGAAGACAACAGCTACCCATTTCTCTGAAGATGATACAGACTCTATTTAAACAGGAGTCTATTACCTGGATGGGGAGTGCGGCTCCCCTGAAACACAGCTCTACCAGGTAAAAGCACATATGCCGAAGCCGGCCTGTTAAATATCTAACTCCGAAATCAGCAAGACTCTGAGAGCACGGGTAAGATGATCAGACCTAGGACTGTCCATCTACTGCTTGTGCCCCCACGCCCAGCGACGACTCCAAGAGTTTACAGATGCAAAAAGTAGGTCAAGAGCAAAGTCTAGGTTTACATTCATTTGATTTCTGTGCACTACTGGGCAGATAAAGTTCAGATAAAGGACATATCTGCGTATGAGGCCCTTGACTTTTATTCCACATTGGGATGTTGTGGGGGCTTAGAAAAGGAGATAAACACTTCTGGTGGATGGGAGTGTTGTCAGAAATTTTCACCCTGGAGTTGTGACGCCCACCTACAAACCATTCTGTACCTGTAAGAAATGGCTATGAAATGGTTTGTCTAATCCCAGCGTGAGCAATTTACTTATTCCGGCTGGTCAAACAAGCTACTCGTACTAGTAAGATTTACAGCATATCTCTTTCCCATTAAGACCCGAGAGCCCTATCTGGCTCATTCAGAGATTGTTGAAATCCACAATTCAGAGGCCTCTCTGAGCAAGGCTGGCTGGAGCCTGAAGGCCCTTGGTCACGACAGGACGCATGTCAGAGCCAGGGCTAGAAGCCAGCAGTGCCTGGGCCTCAGCAGGTCACACGGGACCACTGCCGCTTTCCCTTCATCATGGGCAGTCCCAATTCTGACGTAAAGAACGGCGTGTTCCGGGGCGCCTGGGTGGCTCAGTCGTTGAAGCCTCTGCCTTCGGCTCAGGTCAGGATCTCAGGGTCCTGGGATCAAGCCCTGCATCGAGCCCCGCATCGGGCTCCCTGCTCGGCGGGAAGCCTGCTTCTCCCTCTCCCACTGCCCCTGCTTGTGTTCCCTCTCTCGCTGTGAATCTCTCTGTTAAATAAATAAATAAATAAAATCTTAAAAATAAAAACAAAACAAAAACAAAACAACGGCGCGTTCTGAGATCACCAGCGGTCCCTGACTTCCTTAGAAGACCCAAGAGTGGTCCTTCGCACAAGATGGCTCTCTGGACCTGGGAAGTGAGAGCTTGCGCATCAAGTGAGCCACCGACAGGAGCCAGAGACGGAGGGAGCAGAGGGCTGAGGGAAGGCAGTTACAGACAACCCCAAAGTGAAAAAACTCTACACTAGGATACAGGAACAAGGATACAGAAACCTAGACGTGGTCAGGACAGAACCTTTCCTGTCCTAGAAAGTTCTTGTAAGCTATGCCCATCTTATGTTAGACTAGAAAATAATCCCCAATACCTTTGCCCAATCTTTTAGTAATAATTTTATAATTTTTAAACCTTTAAAAATTTGTTTTAAAACATAAGCCAGAAAGATGGGGCGCCTGGGTGGCTCATTCGGTTAAAGCAACTGCCTTTGGTTTGGGTCATGATCCTGGGATGGAGCCCCGTGTCGGGCTCCCTGCTCAGCGGGGAGTCTGCTTCTCCCTCCGCCTGCCACCCACCCCCGCTTGTGCTCTCTTTCTCTGTCAAATAAATAAATAAATCTTTAAAAATAAAATATAAGCCAGAAAGAACGAACTAATGCTTTACTTGGTAATCCTTTTTTCACTTTTCCTGAAGTTCTTAGCACAGAGTCAGTCTCTAGGGATGTAGGGAGTTCCAAGACACAAAAGAGGCCCATCCTCCCAAAGTACCAATTTTTCTTGGTGATTTTTTTTTTTTTAAGGTAATCTCTACACTCATCATGGGGCTCAAACTCACAACCCCAAGATTAAGAGTCGCATGCTTTACCGGCTGAGCCAGCCAGGCGCCCTTTTCTTGATGATTTTGAGGTGCTTGTGGATTTTTGGTCTCTTAAATATCATACACACAGAAAAAATTAACATAGTCCCACTATTCTACTTTAGCCAGACAATCTTATGGATCTTTTTTGGTAAAAGCCTGGAGAATCAAAATTTTACATGTATTAAGCAATGAGAAAATTCGGTGCTTTTGTGTTAACAAGAGTCCCTCACGTGGTATTAGCTCTGGGTCAAAAAGAGGCAGCCAAGTATTAGTGAAGAAAGAACAGCGCTCTTACCAAACACCACAAGTACTCAAGCTGCTGGCTAGAAGTCTGAGATTCACAGGGGCCTCTGTCCCTTGGATGTCCATGTTGATGATTTGCCTTTTTACTAATCATTAGATACATGTGTACTTGCATTTGTGTACATGGATTGTGTGTTGAGAGGGAGAAAGTGAGTATGTGCACAAAGTAGGAAACCGTGTGATGGTAAAATGACACGTACATTTTTTTCTTTAATAACAGTGCTTCTGGTGAACATACTAAGGACTGAACACCAGCATGTATTCAGTGAGGATGACGGGTACAACCTCTACCAGCCTGAACTACAGGAGCAGACAGGACCACTGACCAAAACCACTCTACCTCAAAATCAAAACCACCTCTTGACTTTCTCAGTGTGTTCTATGAAGTGACAAAAAGAGGAACTTCTGTAAAACAAAGAAACAAAGCCTAGGGGTTTAAATTCTTTGATTTTTAAGACAAATGTGAGGTGAAATGAGCAGTGCCTTTGAGAGCTTGCTTTACTACAAGAGAGGAACTGGTTAGGTCAGAGAATTTCTGAGCTCATCACGGAACTGTTTTTCCTTGAAGGGTAGCAGAATATGCCACTTTGAAATATGCCACACTGGCATAAAAACTATTTTGAGCTAAAGGCAATTGAGAAGCAACAGATAAAAACAAAAACCAAAAACCAAAAACCAAAAAACAACTCTCTCCCTCCTCCCTATTTGCCAAAAAGCAGGATGTAAATTTGGGAAGGCCCCACTCCCCCACCACACCCTCTGACCAGGAAGGACAGAAGTTAATCACTGGAGACATCTCTAGACCCTTATCAGCCCACAGACGGCACCAGGAGAATCTACATGACAAACTTCAGGAAGGAGGCCTATCTTCCATTAGATGCCCATATGTTTACCTTCCCACAATCTGCTGCACTAGAAACTTCAAGTCCTTTCCCTTTGTCTTGTCACCTCTCCAAAAACATATTATTCTTTTGTTAACATGCTATATAAGCCCAAGTTCTACCCACCCCTTTGAGTTACTCATCTCTGAACACTTCCACAGGTAAATGCAATGCACACGTTAAATACTTTTTCTCTCGTCAATCTGTCTTTTGTCAGTCTAACTTATAGGGCCCCAGTCAGAGAACCTAAGATTTCTAGAGGGAAAAGTCTTTCCTCCCCTGCATTGTCAAGGAAGAGTATCGTAACAACAAAGGGTAAAAACCCCAAATAAGGTGAACTAATTTATGGTTCACCATGTGGTAAACCTAAGTCCCCAAAGTTGGGATACCCTGCAGACTTTTCCTCAAGGCAGAATTTCCTCAGCAAACATCTGCAGAGCGAAATTACTCACCACCCTATGAATCTGCAATGAAAATGAAGTTTGATAGCTGTGGAGAAGAGGCTGGTCATGGGGACTATAAGCGCTTTGCCATTCTATGTTCTTTTGCAATGACACAAATTACAGTGACGGTGATAAATTAGAAAATACCATGAGTCATGTTAATTCACTAGAAAAGTTCTCTGATGATATTTCTTTTGAAACAGTAACAAAGATGAGACCCTTTCAGTCCACCTTATGTGACAAGCAACTGACCTGTCTACAGTAGGATAGATTCCCGTGGATGGAGAAAGTTGCCACATGCCATCTTGGCAGCATTCTGGCTACCTCTTCCCACTATTTATTAACATGCCCCATAAAGTAGTGAACAAAAAAAAAAACAACAAATGAATTAAAAAAAAAAACTGCTGTTGATACTACAAGTAGGACCAAGTCCTCATAATATTCTGAAACCAAGACAGAAGAGAGAAACTGCCTACATCCAGCACCTAACAGATGACATTGACTCACTTAAATTTCATCTAACTTCTTACAATTGAGAAGACTCTGCAAAAGTATGTCTGCCCATGAAAGTGTAAGGTTGAAAACACTTTCATATTAGATTTAGATTTCTAGTCAGGCAATGAAAAGAATGCTAAATTTGACCATATTTTTAGGATAAAACTCAAGTCAAAAACTTGCACATTTGGGAGGGCCACCCTGGGTTACTTTCATAAGCCACCTTACTTGTGTTCCTAATCTTCCAGCACACACCTGGTGGGGATGTGTCGGAAGTACTACTCCAATACAATTTAGTTGGAAAGACAGAAAACAAACTAATATGTCCAAGAAAGAAAAAAACAGTTTCTACAGGTAAGCAAGATGGCAAAGAATTAGAAAAATTTGCTATATAAAGAATACAGTGGAACTGAGTGGTAAGTACGCTATTTTCAGTCCTGATCAGATACTCAGTAAGGAACAAAGTTCAGGACTCCAGACTAGAGGCAAGTTCTGATGAAATTAATCAACTTGGTTAAAAGTTTAAAAATAGTTTTTTTTTTTTTAAATGATTTTATTTATTTGAGAGAGAGCATAAGTGGGGGGGGAGGGGCAGAGGGAGAGGGGAAAGCAGACTCCCTGCTGGGCAGAGAGCCCAATGTGGGGCTGGATCCCAGGACCCCGAGATCATGACCTGAGCTGAAGGCAGACACTTAACTGACTGAGCCACCCAGGTGCCCCTAAAAATAGAATTTCTGAAGAAGAAAAGAAGAGCTTGGATTACTAAATATATGTGAGAATTTATGATGACCATCCCTGCATTTTAGCTCCACAAAGGTCAGAACTTTCAGAAAAGAACACAGAAAAGCCCAAGGAATTTAAGTTCATCATCATCACACACAAAAAATACTTAGCTTCTAAAGGAGCCCATTTGTGGTATAAAGAGGGATTTCTACATAGTTCATGTCCCTCAGGAGTTTATAGGCTAAATAATTCCTTATAATTATAGTTTTGAAATAGCAAAATGGGACACCCATAAAAGGAGCAGAACTTCTAAAAATATTCTATAGTTTTGGGGCGTCTGGGTGGCTCAGTGAGTTAAGCATCTGCCTTTAGCGCAGGTCATGATCCCAGGGTCCTGGGACCGAGCCCCACATCTGGCTCTCTGCTCGGTAGAGAGTCTGCCTCTCCCTCTGCCCTCCCCCGCCCCCCTCCACCCCCCGCTCATACTCCCTTTTTCTCTCAAATAAATAAAATCTTTAAAAAAAATTCTATAGTTTTAAAATAGATTTATTAAGTGCTTGGGGGTGTGCAGGCAGGTATGATGCATTCCAGGCAATCAACAGTTAAGTATATGGACTTGAGTCTCCCTATCCCTGTGATTCCTGAATAATTCAGACAAGAAGCACATGACAGGACTCTCCGGTCTGAGGGCCAGTTCCGAATGAAAGTAGCAAGTTGAACTACAGGTTCTGATTTGCCCTTGACCTCCCATTCAGGTTAGAGTAGGTCCCTTTAACTTGAGACCAGAGGCAGTCCAGAAATTTCTACATTGCACCATTTAATCCTGAAGAGACAGAACCGTTTTTCCAAAGAACTCACCAGGGTCACAACATGAATAAATATTCTCAAACTGCAAAATCTGGAACACCAAATGCCCACAGACAGTGATTTTCTTGTGAGATAACAGATTTCATAACATCTGTCAGGAAAGTGTCAGCACTTGGCGGCTGATGTTTACATCAGTGCCTCAGTCTGGCAACTGTGGGACCTCCACAGTCTGCTGCTGAGGTAACTTTACCACGCAACCATCAGTTCCTTAATGAGCCTCAAGATAATGGGTGCCTCTGTGAAGCTGTGCCGTGCACGGTCTGCTGCCTCAGGAACAGCAGGTGCTGAGGTCCGATACTGTGCAGACATAATGTCAGCCAGAGGCAAACACCACACACCTGAGAAAGATCACTCTTGTCATAGCAGGAAAAGAACAGAAAGATGAAGACCTTCAGGAATCCCTCCTCACGATAAGCCTGGGTATCGACTTGTCAGATAAGCAGAGGAGCGAAAGGAAATGGCCTTCATTAACAGACTCCGTTAAGCCTGGAAGAGGTCACTGCCGAGGGACGGGAACGGATAAGGCCTGGGCGTAGCACACCCACTGGAAGGCAAACACACACAGGGCTCATGAGTGGGCCTGGGGTCCCGTGCAGCCTTCTGTACCTTTCAGCCCTGAGCGGACGACAGTAGGAGACAAGTCATCGTAGTTGTTCATTAAGCTGATGTCCCCCGAGGTGAAGCTGACGGTGAGCAGTGGCTTGATGTTCTGCACCGGGATGGGATACGCTGCGGGACCGTCTGCCGGGACAAAAGCACTGAGTGAAAAGGAGGCAATGCACACATGACCCCAATCCAGGGCACACGGCTGTAGTCTTGCAGACGGCCTGAAAGACTGCCTGACGACTGCCTGACGCTGTAGATCAGACTCTGGGCTGGGATGTTACCGAATACGGCCGGGCTCTATACCACTCAGAACCTCCACAAGGCCATCAGAGGGATGCTTACCAGAGAACTCTGGAATCAAAGAAGGACGGGGACAGCTAACCCCGGAGGCACCAAGTGGGGTCCCTTGGGCTGTGTCATAGAGTGGTGAGAATATGTGCGGAAAGATTACCCTGTGTGTTAATATGTCATGTTTCTAATGATGTATAAACATCAGTTATTTTAATGTCATATAATGTGTAAGGATGGTGGAAAGAGGGATGAAAATGATTTCTGGATCCTGGCCCAAGGCACAGAGAAAAGTCGCCTTTCCAAGCTAATGCTCCTTCATTGAACATTATAAGAAACAAGGAGCCACAGCTGCCACGCTGAGTTCTTTGTCAAGTTTTTACCATAACAGACCCCAAATCTGGAGAAAGGCCAAGGTTGGATGTGGCTCATAAAGAATTCTGCTACATCTGCAGTACACAGCCAGTATAAAGAAAATTCTGCTTTATAAGTTCAAGGAGTACTCTTGGATGCGAAGGAAAAGCCGTGATGTGATGGGTCATGTCCTGGATTCTTCCACATGTTGTTTCAAAAGTAAAAGTCGGTCCCTCCCACAGGCCAGGATAAATCAGGGTCCTTTCAGAAGAACCCTGGAGGCCTCACACCCATGCTGAGTTCATCCCTGGCAGCCGTCCAGACTGGGCCGGCCTGACATCCACGCGCTCACCCCCAACTCGGGTTGTGAGCCTGTGGAGGATCCTCAGATGTCACTTTCCTTTGCTTCACTTTAAGATGCTCAACTTCCTTGGGCCACCAAAAAAACCCTTTTCTATGTGAAAGGCAAATCCCAGTCATCCTCCAAACTGCCCCATGGCTCATGTTAGAGTAGCAGCCAGGGACTAAATTCTATTCTTGGACTTACTCTGAACCTGCTTTATAAACCTCGTCTCTGGATCTTGTTTCTTCCCATAATACATGGGGCTGAATAAACCTGCATTCAATCTAGTCAAGTTCTGTTTTAAAAGTATGCTGAAAAGTATCCAATGTTGTAAGACACTGACTTTATTCCTATGAGGCTGGAGAAATGATCAATACTTCACTCAAGGCTAGGGTCCTACTAGGAAAGGGTCTCAAATGGAAGTACTCTCTCCGCCACCTCGCCAAGCCCCACCCATCCTGAAACACCCCTGCCCACCTAAAGTTTCTTCCCTGTGCAAACATCATCTTCTCCTTAAACAAATGACTGAATGAGTATGTGTCTGTCTCTGTATTATATCACGTCTGGGACAGGAGAAGACAAAATGAGAGCACTCCAAGCACCAATGGAGGCGGATGCTGTTGGGGGACAAAATTAAAGAATATTCTCTAGACCAGCCCTTCACAGGATGAACATGCCCATAGTCACAGGAAAGGGGAGAAACCGTCCAGCCCATTAACGGTGCTTGGTGAACAGCATGGACGCAGCTGTCCAGGCTGAGGGTGGATGTCGTGTAGCAGTCTGGCCACGTCTAATCTGCCACAATTTCATAATATATTTTCCTTTAACAAAAAGAGGGATGGAGTACTGGGGAAGAGCCAAAGCCCCGAGCAGGCCAGTGCTGAATGCTACTGTCGGTGATGGCCAGCGGGGCCATTAAAGGCTTCTTCTGCTTTTGTGTGGATGTGTGTGTCTGTGGTGGTGGTCGGGGGGGGGGGGGGG